TGGGAACAGCAGGGATGCAGCAGGGAGCTGGGCACATCCTTGTTTCAATGGGATGTGTCCAGGGCTGTTGTCACTGCTCTGGGAGGGCCATGGGGACCCTTCCTGGAGGTCAAGGACATGTGGAGCAGAGGGAAGGGCTGGGCTGAGGGGGATTGCAGCGTAAGAGGCTCTGAAGGTGATGGAGCATCTTTTTTGTAGATTCGGTGTGGCTGCACCATTGGCTGGGGGGTGTCCAGGGGGAAGGAGCTACAACATGGACAGCGCTCATTGGCGTCACAAAACTCTTATTAAAATTTAAGAGCACAGAGCAGGTGACCCTTAAAGGTCCCTTCCAACCCAAAACTTTCGATGATTCTACGGTTTAAAACGCTTTCCCATTAGGAAAGCCTTAAAGTGTTGTGTTGATGAAAAGATCCCCTTTCTGATGTGTACACTGATAGGAAAAAAAGACTTTATTAAAGGAAAAGCCCCACCATGCTGCAACTTCAGTGAGGATCTTGTAAACATAACAAACTCCTGCTGATTTTCTCTATTAATTGCCTGTGCTATGGAAAACAAGGGCCCTGCAGCTCTCAGTTCTCAGCAAACCGCCTTGCTGGGTGTAAGACGTCTTCCGAAATTTGGGGAGGGCTGGAGCCATGTGTGGGCTGTGGAGGTTCGAGGGTGATGGAGGGTTTTTTGGGGCGCAGCGGAGAGGAGGAGGCGGGGTTGGGTCATCCCCATGGTTCTCTTCCAGGTTTTGCTATGGGAGGAGAGCAGGGGAGAGCTGCTGAGCTTCCTTTGCAGTCCCATTTGTATTAGAGATGCACTCGCTGATTAACTCCACATCCTCATAGCTCGGGCGCAATAAATTACAACAGAAACGCAGAAACCACTGGGGTTACATTAACATCTCCAGGGGAAGCAGGAGTAGGGTCATTTTCTGGGCCATTAAGTGGTCTCCATTTGTTTGCTGCCTCGTCTCTTCAATAGCAGTTCTTTATTTTCCCTCGATTTCAGCCCAGCGCCGTCTCAGCAGGCGCTGCACTCCAGTGACCTCGCATCCCTTCTGCACCATCTTCCCCTGCTCCCATCTCACCTCCTCCCTCTCCCCACACCACCATCCAGGGCATGACCAGCTCAGTGCCAACATCCTCATCACGGTGACATTCAGTTTCTGGAGCTCCTTTTTAATATGTGCCACAAAGAAAGATCACACCTCAAAACCCACGCGAAGTTTGCAGGCGTTTTGCAGCCCACAAAGGAGGTAAAATTGTCGCGGGTGATTTGCCTAGCTCTCTCTCTGAAATGATGGCAAAAAGGGAAGATTTCGGAGTTAATGTCTGGAAAGTGCCATGAAAATGAAAAAGCATAAGATGTGATCGTTGTTATTACCGTGTTATGGGGCTCAGCACGGGCTGAAGAAGGGTGTGGGTGTGCGCTCCAATCCCTAGCACTGGACGATGAGGAGGAAGGGGCAATCAGTATTTTCCCTGACAGCAGAGGACCCTGCTTTACCTTAGCTTAGGAGGAATTCGGAGATTTTCAGTCTGATTCAGGTGTCCTGACCCATCCCTGTTTGTGTCCTCAGCAAACGTGACTCAAATCCCATGAGATTTTTGGTGTCTGGCTCCCTGGAGAGCGCAGATCATGGGGAGGTAGCGCCTGGCTCACTTGAAGACCCAGGATGGATGTGGCCAGTCCCTGATCACCCAGGGAAGCCTGTGGAGGAGGTGGACACTGAAAATCTGCATCCCAAAGTCAGGACATCTGTGATGGTGGTTAACCCTCCTTCTCCTCTCCTTACATTCAGGGCAGCAGGGACAGGACACCTTGGTGGGTTGCTGAAGGCAGCCCAGCCCAAATTTCACCTGCATCAGCTCCTCCAGTGCAAGGATGAGTCCAGGACATGGAAATGACCTCTCTCTTTCTCCCCCTGCAGAGCCAGCTCTCTCAGGCCCTGAATGGGCTGTCAGACAGAGCCAAGGAAGCAAAGGAGTTCCTGGTCCAGCTCCGCAACATGGTGCAGCAGATCCAGGTACGAGGATCAGCCCCTTCCCACTACTCTGCCGTCCCCTGTCCCATTTCCTCTGCTTGGTTTGGTGAGTGCTTTCCCAAAGGGGCTCACACCTGAATTTTGTATTACCCTCTCAAAAAGCGCTGCTCCCAGTGCTGCCTGTGTCACAGAGTGAGCAGCAAAGACCCCAGCGCTTCCCATCCCTGCCACAGGCACATCCAAGGCTGTGGCAGGACGGAGCAAACCCGTTCCTTTCCTGCCACCACCACATTTGCCTTGAACCAAAGGCATAAGCACCCTGTGTGCTAATGCTATGGTTTTGTGTGCAGCTGCACATGTGAAAATGTCCCATGTGGTATCATGAAAAAAATGCAGTTGATTTGAAATGGAGACGTGATGCTGTGCTCTGACCCACAGGAGAACAGCGTGGAGTTCGAGGCCTGCTTGGTGGCCCAGTGTGACGCCCTCATCGACGCCCTCAACAGGAGGAAAGCCCAGCTACTGTCCCGGGTCAACAAGGAGCACGAGCACAAGCTGAAGGTGAGCCCCTGCCCACCATCCCAGGGATTCTGAGAGCTTTCTGCAGGGTCAGCACCGGACGGGGTGAGGACTGTGCTGCTGTTTGTTGGAGTGACATGCCATGGGAGGAGCAGGGAGGTCACTGGAAAGCCACTTCTCGTGGTTTTCAGATGAGCTGAAGTCCGTTTTGCTGCAGATGCCCAAAATGCTGCTCCCTCCAGGTGGTGGTTCCCACTGAGTTACTCCATCACTGGGCCAATTACCAGTCATTAGGTCAGCAGAGCCATATGTGCAGCATCCACACCAATGTCACTTAATGCTTCCAGGGTCCCTCTTCCAAGGGCATTTCAGTTTTGGGGCTGAAAACATCTGTATCTCTTCTCTGGCTTATATCCCCCCTGGTCTTGCTTTGGGCCACCCAGGAGGCTCCCAAAGGGATCCCTGGGCCTGCCTAAAGTGGGGGAGGAGGCCACCAGTCTCGGCTCTGCCTGTGGACCACGGGCACCGCAACATGAGGGCTTGGGAGCATTTCCATGGACAACAGCAGCGCTGTGGGACCGAGCCCAGCATCACCACTCGGTGTCCAACAATAAAGCACAACCCCAAACAGAGATGCCTGTTTTCTGGGTGCAGAGAGGACCCCCACTGCCAGGTGGTCTGTCTCCCCCTTCAGAACATGGTTAATTAAACTGTCACAGAGCCAGGCAGCACAAAGCAATTTCGCGGCTCAGCACAACCCAAGGAACCCTTTCACTTCTTGGCCAGAGGAAGGGGACTGCATCCCACCGCTTGCTCTTACTGTACCACCCCAAACGTGCACACGTCCATCCCACCCCATCCGCCCCTATTACCAGCTCGGTTTTGTCATTATGGGGGCTGGCCCTTAAAAGTAGAAACAAACAGCCTCTGGCTTTCAGACTGGACTCTGCTAAAATCAGCCCTTGAGCCTCTTTCCATGAAGGGCCCAGCTCGCCAGGCCACTGAGGTGAGCGTTTGCCACCCGCCCTGCAGCCTGTCCCCCATGTCCCCATCCCCAGCACTGCTGCTGTCCCCACGTGCTCTGTCCCCCCCGGGTCACCCGGGGTGGTTTTCCCTTTGCCCCCCCTGAGGAGCCCACAGACAAAGGCAGCACCTGCAGCTCCAGCTGGGCACAGGCTGGGATGGCCTCGCTCAAAGGGTCAGGGTACTTCGATGGGACATGAAAGCAGCAATTGTGCCTGGAGCAGCTGCTTCCTGATGGGACGTCCCCTCCACCACCCAAGCCTGGGAGATAGCGAAGCCTCCGGCTCCTGCTCTGAGGCTCTGGAGTGCTGCAGGGGGAGCAGGAATCCTTCCAGGGTGTGGGGGAAGATAGTGCAGGGCCGTGGGGCTTGTCCTGGTTGATGTTCACTTGCCCTGGCCACGTCCCCAGAGCAAGACAGCTGAGGACATGAGGAGATGGATTGACTGGTGAGGTTGCACAGCCCAGGAGCCCTTTCAGATCCAAATCAGCTACTCCAGCAGCCAGCATGGAGCCGCAGCACTCTGGCTGCAGCCGATTTCCCCATGGGTTCCCCTCCTGCCTGCTGGTAGCTTGGCCATCATGGCATGGTGTGGCAAGGAGGAGACGCACAGGGGGTCAGAGCCTGCTGACACAATGCCATGGGTGTCTTTCACCAGGGAGCCCAAATTCCCATTCCCTTGCGACACCCGGAGTTCAGTTTAGTTCAGCTTCAGGCCTGACCTCCTTTGGCTTGACACTTATTTCATGGAGCCGGGCACGAATCCAGGTTTGCCTATGGGCCAACACTAATTGCTCCACAGCAGGGAGTGGTCTGGGAGGAGATGAACTTGAAGGGACATTTCCCTGCCTTTCCCCAGACTCCCCCTATGCTTGGATTCAAATTAAGGACGTGGGCTTTGAAAAATAACGTCTGGAGGAGCTGTGGGGCCGGGGCCTGCGCCATTTCTGATTCAGACCTCCACGTCTGTCCTGCTCCTCATTGCTGGATTCAAATTAAGGACGTGGGCTTTAAAAAATAACGTCTGGAGGAGCAGTGGGGCCGGGGCCTGCTCCATCTCTGAGTCAGACCTCCACGTCTGTCCTGCTCCTCATTGCTGACCGTGGATTTCAAAGGACCAGCATGGCCTTCCCCACGGGCCAGTTTGAGCAGGGAAAACAGACACTCCCATGACCCTTCTTTAGGAGTTCCAGTCAGGATTTTCCAGGAAGCCCAAGGGAATTTGATGTCCCCCATTGGATTGGTGACCAGGACTGGTGTGAAAGGATGAAAAGCAGGACAGGAGCACAGGTTTGGTTTCCTGTACCATGCCATTGCTGTACGGAAACACCCCACAGTACACACAGCTCGTCACAAGGTGCGTGATTTCCCCAAAATGCAGATACCAGGTGCTGCTTTCTCTTACAAATCCCTCCATGCTCTGCATTATTTTCTCCCTGCTGTGGTGTCTGAGCACCCTGGGATGAGCATCAGCACTGGGAGCTGGAGACTGAGGAGCTCTGCAGAGCTATGACCAAGCTGCAGGGATGGCTCTCTGATGTCCCTCAAGCTTTCTGCTTATTTTCCTGAAGGGCTGGGTCAGGTCTGTCCTCCATAGCATCTGTCCGTGTGCCGTGTTCTCCAGCAGTTCTCTCTGACCAGGTCTCCATATTGCACCTTCCCATCAAAATGGGTTCGTGTAAACTTCCAGGACCTGCGGCCGCCAGCGTCGCAGAGGGTTGGTAAAGCCCTGGTTGGTAAAGCAGCTCCGCTTTTCCCAGCTCTGGTCTCAGCATCCTCTCCCAGTAGCAAGAGGCAAATCACCATGGAAACATCCTGGAAATGCTCTGCTCAGAGAATGCGTGGCTGTGGGATTCAGCATGATCAAACCATCAGGATCTGTCCCAGGGATTTTTCCATCCGGGATTGCAGCGATGCAGCTCCCTGTAACACTGCCCTCTGTCCCCGCGGCCGTGCAGGTGACCATGCCCTGGCCATGGTGTCCCCAGGGCAAGGAGGCTCTGTGTTCTCTGGGTGACATCCCCTGAGGAGTCAGGGTTCAAGTGAGGTTGGGTGCCTTGACAAGCGATTATCTACCCAAGTACTAAAACGAGGAGGAAGGTGAGGAAGACATTGAAGCAGAGATGAGTGCAGATGCTGCTGCCTTCTAGGAGCTGTATTAACATGTAAATTATAGTTAATGTCATCTTGCAGGGAAGGAAAGTTCTTGAAATACATTTCCTATTTTAAGGTAGTAGTGAGCTGCTGTGAGTGCACAGCAAAAGTCCTTTTTATAGGCTGTAATTAGCAGCCAGCTTCTGGCTGTTGCCTCCTTTGGCACCTGAAGGGAAAAAGAAAAGGCATTTGATAAAAATGGCCGCAAACAAAATGCATGGAGGTGCCCAAATCCCCTGGCCAGATCCCAACCAAAGATCTCTTCTCTTGCCTTGAACACAGTTTGGTGGTGGTGAAGGGAACATGGATTTCCACTGTCATTTTGCCTGCTGCATAGATGCTGCAATTAAAGCGCTGTTTCATGCTCTAGTTCTCCAGATGAACAGGGGCTCAGTCCCCAAAGGGATCACAGAGTGACAGGAGGACAGGATCGCTGGGCTAGAGCTGCAGTCGCTGCCTGGGTGCTGCTTCTGAATGTCTCCAAGGCTGGAGACACCCCACAGCTCCTCTGTTCTGGTCTTTGACCACCTTTATGGGAAAAAAAAAAGCTTTTACTTAGGTTTCAATGGAATTTCTTGCATCTCAGTTTGCACCCACATGCATAACAATTTACATAGCCTCGGTGGCAGCCTGCGGCCAGCACTTCCATGGCCCAGACCTTTATTAGCGGGGATAATCTGCCAGGAAGCTGGGTCATTAATCAGCCTGGACCTGGCCTCACCTCACCCTGCTGCCGGGGCGGGCATCCCCGTGCCCCGGCTCCCTGCTCCCAAACAACGCCAGGATCCCCCGCTGTCCCTTGGCCATGAGGGTTGTGGTGACAGGAGCCAGTGCCTGTCTGCACCGAGCAAGTGCTGGTTCCTAGAGGCTCACATCTGGCTGGCGGTAGCAGATGGCATTTCTGGTGGTAATGCTTCGAAAGCATCTACTGGGACAAGGAAAGGCTCACAAATTCATTATCCTGGGCAAACCAGACAGAGCTTTATGCTGCAAAGCAGATAAGAAGATTGTTTTATCAATCCCATCTTTGCTGTCTTCCCAGCGGCATGTGCATTTCCCCAGAGAGGGGTCTCTTGTGAAGGAAGGAGCCAGCTTTTCTGGGCATTGCCACTGCTCCGTCCAAGCAAAGCCATTCCAGTGCACCAAAGTGTTGGAAACCGGCACTGAAAGAGGTGTTCCCTCTAATGACAGCATTTGAGGCCCAAGCTGGCATGTGCCCATTATGCTGCTCGCTAGCCCTGTCTCAGAGCCATCCAGCATCTTTGTGAGCCTCCATACACATGTCTTGGTCTGGAGGAGAGTTCCCCCTCTGCCTTGTCCCCCTCCCCAGCGCCTGGGCTTGCTCCTTCAGCTGCAGGCTGGAAACATGGGGCTGAGGTTGCTGGAAGCAGCAAGGGGGGGCTGCTCCCTAATTAGCAGGACCTGGCTAGGAGAGGGCTTTGGAGCATCTCCCAGAAGCAGATCTGTTGCCCCAGCTTGCAGTACTGGGGATTCTTCCTGTTCGGTGATGAAGTAGAGGTGATTAAATTATAATCAAGCAACACACGGTGTGATTGATTGCCCTGCAGGAGCCATCGCCCCCCTCCAAACGCAGGTTAATTCACTGCAGGAGCTGGACGTGTGCTTGGTTTCACCTCCCCATCCCTCGGAGCAGCGGGGATGCTTATGGGATCACGGGTCCTCAGCCTAAGGTGGGCACTCAAGCACCGCGCACAGGCGCTGGGCTTCACCCGCTGCGATGCTGAGGACACGACTGCGCTTCCAGAAATGTTAATCACTGTTTATTGCAGTCTTTTCCACCCCACTGCAGCTGCGGATGCTGATGCAGAGCTCGTCTTTGCTGTCTGGAACATCCTGAATAGCTGCGATTCCCAGAGCTGCATGGCTTTGTTCAGTCCTGGGGAAGAACTTTACACCGCTTTAAAGCTGTCCAGAAAGAAATAAAACCAAAATGCCATGGGGGCGTTCCTCTAAAGCACAAAATCTCCCTTCCTGAGCTGCTCTGCCAGTCTCCCATGACAGAAATCTCGCTGGCCCCAGGTGCAGACCTCTCCCTCCGAGCTCATCCCCAGCTTCATGGATGGATGAGGCAGCCCTGGGGATGCAGCAGCAGCAGCTCTGTACCTGGGGAGGAAGGCGTTTGCTTTGCAGGGAGTTCATAAGCTGTCGTTTGGATGCTGTCTTAATTAAAACCAGAGCACGGAACTGCCCTGATGCCTTGAATAACTACGTGGGGTCATCTTTTTGGGCTGAACAAGGCTGCTTGTTGTTTGCCAGGTTTTCAAGGATCTCGAATTCGATGTCTTGGGGAGTTCTGCCTTTTTCTCTTGAATCTGTCTCCCTTTGTGTCACCTTAACTCTGTCCCCATGTCCATGCAGCACCGATGCCCATTTGCTCCCCATCTCCCAAAACCCCCGTCTACCATCGCTCTCCTTGTCCCATTGCAGGTGGTACGAGACCAGATCTCCCACTGCACGGTGAAGCTGCGGCAGACCACGGGCCTGATGGAGTACTGCCTGGAGGTCATCAAGGAGAACGACCCCAGTGGCTTCCTCCAGGTTGGTGCGAAGCTGCTCATGTCTGGGCTATGAGGGGAGCAGGGAGGGCATTGCACAACCCAGGGCCTTGGGTTAATGCAACAGCTGGGGGAGTGACACCAAGGCTGGTGTCCCTAGCTTTTCCAGCTGTGAAATCAAGGGCCAACCTCTCATCCCCTCCAAATTCAGAGCAGGGCAGAAGCAGAACCAGGCCAGGGATGTTACTCTGACCAGAGGGTTGCAGCAAACAGTGGTGTATCTCCAGAGCAGGGATCATAATGTGCTGCCTTGTGGTTCTCCAGTGAGAGATGGACCTAAAGCACCATTTCTTCCAGTGTCAGTCCCTTTGGTACCAGATCCTGACTTTAAAATAGTCCCAGAGTCCCTTTGCCCATCTGAACCTGCAGCAAAGGGCGATGGTGGAAACCACATGGGATTTCCCAGCTGTTGGCAGTTGGGGACAGAAGCGGGAACCCCTGGAAGTGGAAGAGGGGAAGAGGGGAACCCCCTGGAGAGGATCAGGAGAGGGACAGGGCACAGCGCTTGGCCCAGGAGGCCCTCGGTAGCTGAGGCTGCTCCTTGCCACCAGATCTCCGACGCTCTCATCAGGAGAGTGCACTTAACCGAGGACCAGTGGGGAAAGGGCACCCTCACACCCCGGATGACCACAGACTTCGACCTGAACCTCGACAATGCTCCTCTGCTGCAGTCTATCCACCAGCTCGACTTCGTGCAGATGAAAGGTAATGATATTTCCAGCGCTTTTCGAAAGCCCATATCTGCTCATGCATCTCCCAGCAAAATTGGACACCCCAGACCCTAATTTATGCCCATTTTGGTGTCCCCCCAAACACAAAGGCACAAAGAGCCACAGCGCTGAGCTCAGGGTCTTTCCTCCCTCCGCTCTCCTCCCACCAGCATCTCTCAGTGGTCAGATATGGGAAGGCTCTTGACCACACGCTTCCTCTGTAACGATAATGAACATCTGCAATTAATCACCCCCCGGGTGTTTGCTGCAGGGAGAGGGGTGCGTTGGGCTGCTGGGAGCGCTCGTAGCTGCTCCTCGTTAGCCAGGCCATTAATTTGACACGGCAATAACGATTTTTGATAGCATGGGCAGCCAAACCCAGGGAGGGCTGGGTTACAGGTTTGCTTACACAGCAATCGTGGAGACATCAGCGTGTTCTGCCCTCCCTTCTTTCCATGTAACCCTGAGGGTTATTTTTAATTAATAAGAGCAAATCTGCTGCTGGTTTAGCTGCCTGCCCGCCTCTGCACAGAGCTGACAGAGGCTGCCCTCTCCTCTCACCCTCGCTGTGGAAATAAGTTGTAGACCTTACAGAAGGTGGGGTTTGGGTCCCAGACATGTGTGGCAGCACCAGGGTAACACCAGAGGCCTCAGTAAAGAGCAGAGATGAGCACGGGGTGCAGGGCATCCCACACAGGTTGCCAGCTGCATCACACACCTCCCAGGTTTGGGACCAAGTGGTTCTGTACCAGGTACATTGCTGTGCTGCCGTGTTTCACTACAATGCAGTAGAAAACAGGAGGAAAGCAGAGAAGCCCTGGAGAAACCTCCGCTTCATCGGTCTGTGAGGTGGAAGAATTTGTTTGAGGTGTTTTGGAGAACTTCCACCCCCATCTCACACCCGTGAAATCACAGTTAAGTCCCTTGTGCTGTGCTGCCTTCCAATAAATGCATCCCCCATGCTCCAACCGAAACCTCCTCCTCAGCGGTGCCAGCAGCCAGGGTTACTCTAATTTGTGTTTAGTTTCCTCCCCAGTGCCTGCACCCCCCATCCTGCAGCTGGAGGAGTGCTGCACCCACAACAACAGCGCCACCCTGTCCTGGAAGCAGCCGCCCTTGTCGACGGTGCAAGTGGAGGGCTACATCCTGGAGCTTGACGATGGCAACGGCGGCCAGTTCAGGGTAGGTGCTGACAGTCCCGGTGGCAAGGCGCTGCTACTGGTTCCAGTATCGCCCTGCCATGAAGTGACCAAAGGGTTCCCCAAACCTTTTGCAAGTCCCCTCCTTCCCTGGAAGCATGAGGCTCACTGCTGGCGTGCCCAGGGAAGCTGATGGTGAAGACAAGCTGCAGGCATTTTTGAAGATCAAGGTTATTTGAAGGGGTGGAAATGCCTTTCCAGTGACCAATGAGAATTGCAAATGCAAAGAACACATTCGAAGCTCAGTCTTTTTTAGGTTGCTAAATATTTCAGTGACCAATGAGAACTGCAAATGCAAAGAACACATTTGAAGCTCAGTCTTTTTTAGGTTGCTAAATATTTCATACGAGGTATGCTAATTGCCGTGAAAGACTCATGGTTTGCCAGCTGCCGGGAAGCAGAGGTGTTTAAGGCCTGAGGGCTTTTAAATTGCTGTAATTACACGATTAAAATATGATTTTTCTCTGATCCGACACGCTGATAATTATCCTGGCGTGTTCACATCCACTGAGAGCAGACGCAGCGACCAGCCCAGAGCCTTTTCTGAATTCATCCACAAGAAATACAGGCAGACAGGAGCCAGGGCAGAGCTGAGGCAGCAGCGAGGTATGGGATACAGATGGGATTTACAGTGAGAAGGAAGCAGGAGCCTGGGTGTGGGGAGACTCTGCCTTATGACTTGGTTTTATATGAGTTTATATGAGTTGGTTTCATATCCTTCCCCTACAGAAACTTTTTATGGCACAGTATTGTCAAGTAGAGAATCATGGAGGCATTTTGCTCTGCTTTAACCATATCCAACGCCCATAGATCTGCCTCAGACAGCAGAGCATGGCTGAACCCTGAGCATCCCGACCCTCGGGAGCTGTTCTGCCACTCAGGGCACTAACCCAGGCCTGTGGTTGCTCTGCAGGAGGTGTACGTGGGCAAGGAGACCATGTGCACGGTGGACGGCCTTCACTTCAACAGCACCTACAGCGCACGTGTCAAAGCCTTCAACAAGAGCGGCGTCAGCCCCTACAGCAAGACCCTGGTCCTGCAGACATCCGAGGGTAAGGCACCGCTACGGCCCCGGCCCAGCACGCCCCAGCTTAGCGTTGCAATGCAGGGAACCGCCCCGCTGGGCCTCCAGGACTCCAGTAATCATTGCAGGGAAGCCACCGCTGATGGGAGGAGCAGAGGTTTCCCTCTCACCCCTTTCCTTTGCAGAAGCAGCTCTTTGAGGAGGTACAGTGAGAGGCATCCCGCAGAGAGGTGTTTACAGTCTGCTTGCAGCAGGGTTTGTGTTACACAAAGGGAAGCTCAGATATTTTCATTAATTCCATTTAAGACAAAACAGCTCTGTCACCATCGCTCCGGAGGCACTGAGCAGAGGAGCCATGCGTGTCCTTGGAGACCCGCAGGGTGCACAGCCAGCCATGCCAGCATCGCCTGCATCACCCTGGTTAGAATATTAAACACCCTCTTGCAGGTTGCGGAGGAGTCTCCCCGCCTGACTTTAAGTACATTTGTCACGCCAGGCACTTAATCCATGGCGGAAAATTGGCTTGCTGCTGCCATGCAGGTGGAGAGCCGCGAGGCTCACTCTGAGGAGCAAGGTAGGAGTCAGAAGCAGCGGGCGATGCAGCTGTGAATCAGGAATCAGCCCCCATTGGCACATCTGCCACTCCACAACCGTGCTGCCAGGAGAGATACCCCTCCTCGGGAGTTTTCCACGCTCGGTGGAATCCCTTTTCTTATTCCCAGACTAAAATCACAAGTCATGTGAAGACACAGTCTGGGGTTGGGAGGGAGTAAACACAGCTCATGGGGCTGCTGATGGGGCTGAAGGAAGGTGAGAGCCTTCTTTAAGTAAGGAGAAAAAAGGGGTTTCTGCTGAAAACTGCTTTATAGCTAGAAGCAGAGCCAGGCTGTGCAGCTTCACTGGCTTCCCTGCACTCATCTGCAGGAGGGAACGGTTCCAGCTCAGGAAGAGCCCGTGCTGGGTTTGGATGCATGGGCAGGACAGGTTGGTGAGGAATGGGACCCACATGTGACAGAGGGAGAGCAGAGAGCAAACCTGTGACAAACCTCATACGAGAGGCAGAGATCTCAAATCGCAGGGCACGAAAGCCTTGGCACGTCCGTCTGAGAGCTGCAATGAAGCAGTGAAGCTGCAATGTTCCTCTGGAGATCTGGGGCAAGACAACCCAGATCCAGCCCCACGCTGGGGGGCCAGGACCTCTCCCATCACCTGAAGGTCAGCAGTTCTTACCCACTGCACTCTCCAACTTCATCAGCCCGCACAGGAGACAACAGAGCTTTGGCTTCTCATCCCATTTGTGTCTCACGAGACCCATTTGACCCACAGTTTCTTCATCAAAACCATTTAAGTTATCCCAGCCAGGAGTTTGCAGGTTCCCCACTATGATTTTTCCAACTCTGCTTTCCTCTCATAGGTGTTTTCACTGCTGAGCCAAGCTCACCTACTGCACACCTCCAAAATACAAAGGAATTTGGGATAAAAGACCTGGTCCCAAAAGGCCAGGCTGTACTTGGGGCTGGTGCCTTGGTCTGTGCTGGCCCACGGATGTTTCACTCTTCTCAGCATCAGCTCCAAGTTTGCTGCATTCAGCCTTGCAACTGAATGGGCTTTTGAGTTTGTTATTCCTGCACAAAAGAAAATGGAGAAAAAGTCCAATGGGCCCGGAGCATTTTGTGCTCTTAGAGGCTGCCTGAGCTTTTCTGGACTCAAATAGTAATTACATCTCTGTGCAGCTTCCAGATATCTGAGTGACTTGTTGAATAGAGCTGTCTTGCACATCACAGCTCTTGGTTAGGCTTTTATTTCTGGCCTTTAAGTGCTGTTTTGTCTGAGGTAGGCATAGCTTTCCCTTCCAGCCGTGCTTGCCGCTAAGTGTTCATGTGGGAAGAGGGGACAAAAGAAGAGATGGGCTCCATCTGAAGAGAGCATCTCTCTGAGCATGGCCATCCTGCTCTAAGTGGTCATGAGGATTTCTGCTCCCAGGGGATTATTTGAAAGCTGGTTTCCAGTCCTGGCACACGAGATCCTTTTCTGCAGCCTGAGGAAGGTCACTGGAGTCTTTCTGCTGCCTTCAGTGAGCAGTGAAATGGGCTTCCCACATGCTAGGCCCTCTGGGGCTTCCCAGGGATGAAGATTGTCATCATCAGCGCAGCCAAATGGCAGCAAGGGCTGCGTGGTCCTTACCTGGAGCTGTGTCCTCTCCCAGAATGATGTCTGGCTGAGTCACAGCAGGAGCATCTCCTGCCCGGTCATGTCTTGGCCAGTGCCTCCCAGGTGGTCCCTGCAGGTTCCAAGGTGCTGCCATGTGGGGCCTGGCTTAACCTCTCTGTTTCTTCAGCACCTGAATGCAGTTCAGCTGTAGGCTTGGAAATCAGTCCAGAAGAACATTTGCAAGGTGTCCCTGTCGCCTTACAGAGCTTGGCCGGTGACAGCACTGCTCGGCCGTCCTCACCCTGGAGACCTTGGGTCTCCTCGTCCCTGGACTGGGCAGCCCCAGCTGCCTTGGTCCTTCCTCATCCAGCAGATTTCCCAGTCTCCCGCTGACTTGGGACCCAGCCTGGTTTCCTCTCGGCACGTTCCCATTCTCACAGTGGTTCCTTGGTGCATTTGTGGCTGTGGCAGGCACAGAGAGGCTTTGCAGAAGCCCCTGGCTCTGCTCTGCCGGTCATGGTGGGATGCAAACAGCCACTCCCAGGAGCGGGCCCCTAACACGTGGTGGTGAGGACCAGAGGAGGAGACCTCCTCTGTTAGATGAGAGCCTGCTGTGGGCTGCTTTTCTCTACAGGGGTTTCTGGGATGGCAGAGCTTCAACCTCCCTCCTGCCAAAACCCAAGAGCCAGCACAGCAGAGAGCCACGTGCCAGGAGCTGCCTCTGCACAGGGGCTTGGGCACCCCTGGGAGAGTCCTTCCCCAGCCCAGTTAAGCACCAGAAGCTTTCCTCTTCCTTCAAGCCCAGTTCCTCATCTGGGGCCCAGCTTTAAGTTCCTTACAGCCACAGAGCGACCCTCAGCAGCAACCAGGGCTTTTTCACTGGCAGTTTTTGAGAAGGGGTGAAAAACAAACGGGGAAATACTCTGCAAGGAGCTGTAGAAACATAAGATATTAGTTAGGGAGAGCGAGGAGCCTGGCTACTCTCGGTTCCTCTCACTCTTGGTAGATGTTACTGGGCACATCCCTCCCTAACCTCGAGCTCTGTTTATTGACCTGTTGTGCACTGATTTATCCCACCTGAACCCACTGACGCTCTTTGCTTCCACAGCCCCGCACAGCAGCAGGTTGCAGACGTTACAATCCGCTATGCAAATAAATGCTCCTTTTTCTCTGTTTTAACATGATTTCCAGCTCAGGCCGTGCTCACAGCTGCGAGAGGAAGGCTGGGGTACAGCGCTGGGGAGTTTTATCTGATTTGAATGTGTACAGGATGGTGGTTTTGTACATTTTCCTGTTAATATGACAAAGCTAGGGCAGAAATTGCAGGAGGTTTGCGGTAGCAGGGAACAGAAAGCGATGGCCCGAGAGGTTCCCCCTACGCTGACGTTTTGCTGTGAATCGCATGAGTTAAATTCTTACTGTAAGGCTCAGATGTGTTTTGACAGGTACAAAGGGATACCAAGAACACAACATCCCGAACAACCTTTGAGTAAGGTGGGTGCTTGGTGGTACTTAGGGTAACGTAGCTTAGTGCAGCTCTGCGAAATGCCTTCCGGCGGTACCAACCAGTAATTATTGGGCACAAAAAGGTAGGAGATTCATTAAAGAACGATGGGGAGTGTGCATGGTAACTTGTGACCTTTTTTTAGGTGTGTTACCGTGAAGAGGTGCTTTAAAGAAAAGCGTTCTGCATTTGTCACGATGACGTGGCGACGTTTTGGAAGATGAAAGTACATTTATTACCCATACTGTCTAAGGCAAAGCGTTCCCAAAGCACCAGACATTTCTGGGGGTCCGTGATGCCGAAGCGACCGCGCTCTGCTCCGAGGGCCGCTCTCGGGCGATAGAGCAACACCATCCACAGAACCCGTTTCTGATCTGTAGTTTGCATTATTGCTCTTACGTTTAGACACACAGTCAGAAGAGCAGACCCTCCCTTTCCCAGTGCCTTTGGAAAGATCGCAGCTGCGTAGAATGAGTCCTTTCTCCTCCACCCTTAATCTACAACCCAGCTTTCCGGGGAGATCCTACTTTGAGCTAAGATCTTCGGCCCACCAGCTGAGCTTGCATTCTTCCTTACAGTCCCTGAATTCAGCCGGTGAGCCGAGTGCCTCTGGCATTTCCTCTTGCTCTGTGCTTCTGGGCATCTCCGAAATACCTGTTCGTTCTGTTGTGTTGTGTTTGTTTTTTGCCCATGACATGCGGGTGGCAGGGGAAACTTTCTGTGTGTCGGTGGCCTGCGTTTGCCGCCGAGGGAGCTGCGGTGGCGCAGTTCTCGTGGTGTGTCCGTCTGTGCATACCAGCTGGGGCAGTTTTAGGTGTGAGGTGACTGTAACTCCTTACGTGGGTGCTGTTCGCGGCCAACCCATCGTGTCCAGACCAGATCCCCCATCTCCAGCTTGATCTTGTGCCTGGGGACAGCCAGAAGAACAGACCCTCCCTAGGAGAAACCTTTAGGGACATCTCGATGGTTTGCTTTCCCTAAACAGCCAGAAAACACAGCCTCTGCTGTCAGATTTGTTCTGTGAAATCAGTTTGCTCAATTAAATCCAAACCCTACTTAAGAAAGACACAAGTCTTGATGCAAGCGAGGTCTACTAAGGCCACCTCATGGACCCCTTGCACCTTGGCTTCGTAAGACCCTGAAGGTGTGGGCTTTTGTCCACTCAGCTTTGAGCCCTGGGCTTGGCTTTTGCACAACCAGACGTGATCGTATCCCAGTCTTGATTCCTGCAGAGCAGAGGACACCGCTCCCATGATCAGCATTTTGGTTGGCGCCCGGTCCTGGTGGGCTGCAGGGGGACATAGGCAGCGCAGGCAGAGCGAGGGATGCTGTCGGGCAGGAGCCGCAGGCACCGAGCATCTCTCCGAGTTTTTTTCTAACCCCTCTTTGCGCATCTTCTGTTGCTAAAGATCCTGGGCCCCGATTCTTCCTCCGCTCTGGATTTACACCGCTCTGGCTTCCTCTGGTGGGAGCCCAGGAAGAATGGGGGCCCCCGATTGTCCGGTTTCCATCCCATAACCCGGAATGAGGAATGCGGCAGCATGGCCCTTGCCAGAATAACCAGGGGGGCTGCAACTTCCTTTTCTTTGTGCTTTTTATGTTGTTTTCTTTCCTTATCGTACCGCTGTGCACTAATGGCTTGAACGCTGTTTTGTTACGGACGTTTCTTACTCGGTGTCCACTGTACCCAGGTCTGCTGCGATGGCCGTGAGCAATATTTGTGTGTGCAGCATGGACCCCCCTAGCTCTGGGGTGGTGGGACAGGGCGAATCGAGGTCCTGGACATGCCCCTGTGTCTGTGGGTGAATTTGGATCACGGTGATGGGCAGAGCCCTTGAAAGCCACTCTTGGAATAGGGGCATGGGGCACGATTCATTAAAACAGCCTCAGGAGGTGCCATGAGGTCCCCTCGCCATGGAGCACAACTGCAGCCAGATGCTTTCCCACCAACACGCACAGGGTGAAAATCCTGCATCCTTGTCAGGGATGAGAGCTGGACAGGGGTTCTGTAAAATCCAGCACCTTTCATGAGGGCCCTCCCGTGCAGAGCCAACGTGGAGCTTCATGTTGCCACATCCTCCTGGTGAGGACAAGCTCCCGGATCAGGACGAGCTCCTGGATCAGGACAAGCTCTTGGATCAGGAGAAGCTCCTGGATCAGGAGAAGCTCCTGGATCAGGACGAGCTCCTGGATCAGGACAAGCTCCTGGATCAGGACAAGCTCTTGGATCAGGACAAGCTCTTGGATCAGGAGAAGCTCCTGGATCAGGACAAACTCCTGGCTGAGTCCCTGGCTGTGGTCCAGCTTCCAGGAGGTGTTTGTGGTCAGGCACAGCCCAGTCCCAGGAGGATGAAGTACAACATGTTCCACCAACGTGGAGCTTCATGTTGCCACATCCTCCTGGTGAGGACAAGCTCCCGGATCAGGACGAGCGCCTGGATCAGGACGAGCTCCTGGCTGAGTCCCTGGCTGTGGTCCAGCTTCCAGGAGGTGTTTGTGGTCAGGCACAGCCCAGTCCCAGGAGGATGAAGTACAACATATTCCACCAAGGCTAAAATTCCCTGCGCTTTTCTGGAGGAAAATCCCATGATTCGGCATCCCAGGCAGGTAGCAATCAGACTTGATGCTCTTGAAGGCTGTGATGGGATCTGGCCACGAAAGAGCAGATAGCTCTGCACATCCCAGAGGTGGGGATCACCGAAATGGCCAACGGTCCGCACTGCAACGCATGGGTTGTGTTTGCGACCCCTCTCCATGCTCTCTGGCTTTTAATGAATCAGGCCTCCCGTTAACAGTTTAATGCTTGTGAGTGTTTTTCAGGCGGTGGTTGTTTCTCAGCTGTGATGTGTGAAATGTAGTATCTCTTTATAGGATGCAATTTTGAGACACAAGGATCGCCTTACTCTCAATTAGGCAAGTATATTTATTACAATTAACTGGCACTTATTCCGTGTTGCTCATCGGTTTGTTTTTATTTTAACCTTGAACTTTTCTTTGGCGGGGGCCATTTCTTACGCGTACCCTTGCTCTCGGCTGTCAAGGCAAATTTGGAGGAGGAACGGTCATTGGCACATGATGTAAAGCCATTTTAAATCTTTCCCCCATGTGGCTTTAAAGAGAAGCCTGAAGTCTGTGCTCTGGAAATGGCCCTGTAATTAAGAACAGCTCCTCCTGCTCAAAGCCATGCATATCCCAGTTCAGGAAGGGTGCTGGAGGGCTTCTCCTCCTGTTTTCTACCCGCCTTGACGTGCTGTTTTCTCTCCTGCATGCCTTGCCTTGGGAAATGGCCACAGTTGACATTAAAAAAATGGTGGCAGGTACGGAATCGCCTTTGTCGCGTTGCGCAGCCGGGCCACCCGCGTGCATGTGAGGCGCCCGGCGCAGCGATCCAATAAAGCAGTGACTAACTCTCACCTGCGTGTTTCATTTCTCAAGCCGTGTTCACTCCTGCAGGCGCGGGGGTGTTTTGTGGATGTGTCAGTTCACGTTTCGGTGACCGCTGGAGAAAAAAAACCACCTGGGGAACCGGGCTGGTGGCTCATGAACCCCCTGTCTTGTGGAGGACGTGACGCTGTGTCTGTCAGATTTGCAGTAACCGAGTCCTGTGCTGTTAACCCCGCAGTGGTGGAGGTTTTGGGGTGTTTTCCAGCCTTCCCATGAGCTAGCTCTTGGCTTACGTGTGCCCGGTTGCTCCGCAGGGAGACTTTTTGGTGACGTCTCTGTCAACATCAACCTCTGTGTGTGCTTTCGGTTCCCAGGATCGCCAGCCCCCAGATCCACACGTACCATTTCTCCGCTGAGCCTCCGTCCCCTTCCCACACCTGGCCTCACCCTGCAGACTGTCGCTTGCATGAAAAAGCCATAATAATACTATAAAGTTATATTAGATAAAGCCTGGAGACCCAGCCAGGATTGCATGTCTCCCTCTGCCAGGCCCAAATCCAAGGGGATCGTGCAGATCCCAGTGGGCTCATTAGCTGGGACAGACAGACGACAGCAGGGGGGGACGGAGATGGGCGGACACGAGCAAAACTCATGGATCCCAGATGTAAAACCTCATCCGCGCTGGCGGGCTGCGGCTGCGCACGCTCACAGCACCCCTCGGTGATGGACGGAGCTCTCAGCCCCTTTTGCCTGCTTCTGGCCGTGCCTGGGTGGGTGGGCAGCGCCCGAGCCCCCGCCGTGCCTTGGCCCCCCGTGTCGGCCCTGCATGCAGCATGCGCTGGTTGGTGTCCGCCGTTTCCGGTGATCGCACTCCTGCAGAATTAACCCAGTGTCCTCTGTGTGTTGCAGTCGCTTGGTTTTCCTTCGATCCCGCCTCCGCGCACGCCGACATCATCTTTTCCAATGACAACCTGACCGTCACCTGCAACAGCTACGACGACCGGGTCGTGCTGGGGAAAACGGGCTTTTCCAAAGGGCTCCATTACTGGGAGCTGTCGATTGACCGCTATGACAACCACCCCGACCCGGCCTTCGGCGTGGCGCGCATCGATGTCCTGAAGGACGCCATGCTGGGCAAGGACGACAAGGCCTGGGCCATGTACGTGGACAACAACCGGAGCTGGTTCATGCACAACAACTCGCACACCAACAGGTACGGGGTCGGCAGCGGGGGGTTCCTCCATGAGACCACACAGCCCACGGGAGAGCCCATGGCTTTTCAAGTGGTACTGACAGACGCCCACGGGAAGGGTGACATCGCTCCCAATCGCCTAAGGAGACCTGTGGCTTGACATAAAAACAGATTTAATAAAATAATAAGAAGAAACTGATATTAATACCAGTAATAAAGTACACAACGTTATACTCAGCCCGTAGAGTGGTCTCGAGCTGTGTGCTCCCAGCAGTGAATGCTAAAATAGAGTGGTCTTGAGCTGTGTGCTCCCAGCAGTGAATGCTAAATAACAAGCACTGCGAGCACCACAGCTCCAGCAAGAGCGCAATGGCCACAACAAGCAGAGGAGTGGGCCTTGGGAGCAGAACGATGGGTGAGACCCTCTGAGGAGGGAAACCATTGAGGAAAGAGGGCTGTTAGAAAACTCCCCATACCATTATGGTATGGGATAATTCTGGCTTTTGTTCCCCCCAGCTTCTGCTCCTGGCTAACTCAAAACTGCTACAGCCTTGATCACTGTGGCAACCTGCATAGCAGGGCCGGCAAACAAAGCATCTGATCAACTCTGTTCCCACTGAATCGAGTGCCTTCAAAAATGCAGCTTTCCTGAACAGAAAACTGATTCTGTGACTCTGTCCCAGCAAAACTAGTACACGTGCTGACCCTTCCCTGGGTGGGCTGGGACATTCAGCATCGTCAGCCCTTGAGGTCCATGGGCTGAACTGGGAGTCCAAGGGACATGAAGCCACAGAGATGCTCAGATCTTCTTCTCGCCCCACAGGACTGAGGGGGGGATAACGAAAGGCGCCACAGTGGGAGTGCTGCTGGACTTGACCAGGAGGACCTTGACGTTCTCCATCAACGAGGACCAGCAAGGACCCGTCGCCTTTGAGAACCTGGAGGGCCTCTTCTTCCCCGCAGTCAGCCTCAACAGGAACGTGCAGGTATGCGCCTTGACCCCCGGTGCTGCTGTCACCGCAGCGTGTGACAGTGCTCAGTGGCACAGGGACTTTGTGGGGCAGGGAGGGCCCTTGTGCAACAGGAGCAGCTTGGCAAGAGCTAAACTTTGAGCCTAAACCACTCTCCTCCTCTGGGGAGTTTCAAACCCCTCTTCTCTCCCTCTCTCCCAAGCTCCCAGCTCTCCTGACCATCACCAAGCGGTGGCTCCCTGGCCCTATCCGGTATTTCCATCTTTCATTTCTCTTCTCACTGATCTCATCCCTGCTGTCCTCTCCCCTAAATCTCCACGTTCATCAAACCTGGCTTGGGCACCTCGGCTCTACCACTGTGTGCACCTCCAGCACCGCACAAGCATCCGGGCACATCCTAGGACACATCACATTGTTTAATTAGGAAATGTTAAAGAAAGCCCATCTCATCTGCACTGATTTTAGAGGTCACTGTATTAATTTGATGTAAAAAGTCCTGCTCTGTAGTGGGTTTCATCCCAACCACAAATCCTCTGCGCAGGCCTAAGGGATGGGTGCATTTCTGGAGCCCCTCTGCTCTCAGTTCTCTGGGCAAGGCAAGGCTTAAATCCCCAGATAACAGAGAAGTCCCACGAGATGCTGATAAAAGGCTGCTTATAAACTCAGGCCCTTCATTATCCTCCTTCAAAGGTCTATGAGTAATTAAAAAAGACTCTAATTAGGAAGGAGATAATTGTGTTTTAGACAAACTTTTCTATAAATCTGTGTCTGAGGGGGAAAAGGCTGCTGTTCCAATAAAAGGAGGAGTTGTGCTTTCCTACCAAATCAGAGGATTTGTGGAGGGAACTGCATTACCTATGCACATGGTGGGTACCTGCAGGACCTGCCCCTCGCCTGGTCAGTCCATACGAGCCACATCTCTCCCCATCCCAGATGATGCGGGGCCAAGTGCTTATCTCATGTTTTTGTAGAATTGGAGAATGGTTTGGGTTGGAAAGGACCATGAAAGGTTGCACTTGAGCTTCCCCCCCCCACGCTGTAGCATGGCCATGTCCCAGCACCTTGCTGCTGCTCGGCTTTTCCATTACCAAGGTCCTTCCACCCACCAGCAATCAGCCATGTCCCATTTTCGGCTCGGGGCCTTCTCAGAGGTCTTCTTCAGGCCCCCCCATACCCTTTTGTCCATCCCACCTGCAGAAAGCCCCAGATGCTGCCATGTCCCCCTTCTTTGGCAGCCAGCTGGGGATATTTGGGGCTTGATACCCCTGGTACCAGCACTGGGTGCTGGTGTTGTGCAGGGTTCCTGCAGCA